TGTCCCACGACAAGCGCTCTGCTCCTGATTTCACCCACAGAGGCCGTAACCAAGCCTTCTCGGCCTCAAAGACGGAGATCGCGCACATCATCAAAAGCCAGAACAGGATGTTGTCGTCTTCAATTATTTCAATGTTGATAGTCTCGCATAAGTTCCTGAGGCTCCCAGTGAGATACTTATAAGGAAACTTGCCGCCTGGGATTTGCAAAGTGGTTGACAGAAAGGCCAACATCCCAAGTCGGAGGCATTCATCTGATCGGTCATCGATTCCGTTCTTCAGGTGTACGAGTCGTGTTTGGATTGATCCCAAAGAGTCTTGGAAAAGCGAGCCGTCAAGCAGCGAATTACAGGCGAGGTGATCGTTGATCAAGTTCACCAAGTGTCTGAGGTCTTGCCATACAACAGCCAGCCTCCAGTCATTCACAACATTGCAAGAGAAGGGCTCAGCTTCGCAAGTTGGGTTCCCCGACTGCGCGTCAAAGCATGAGTTCCAACCGATAGGGCCGGTGAAGAAATAAGGCGTACCTCCCGTGCCAAGAGACCATGAGAGAGCCAGGCTGTGTTGTCAGAGTCGACCCCAAATTGGCAGATGACATGCACTCACCGATCGAGCTTAAAATGTAGCTTCGGATGACTTCGAAGATACTTGAGCCCTCCACGAAGGCGCACGATCTGCCGCAAGCCTGACAGGTGTACGGCTGTGGTGCTGAAGTCACCCCAAAGACCTGCCATTAAGGCTAGAGTGAGTATGACGTGGAAGATTGCCTCGTTACGATGTGAGTCTGGTTGAGAAAGCGCCTCATTGAGGAGTTTGATTGTGCGTCTGAGATGAAATTGTGTCATTCTTCCTGGCTGACGGCGCTGGACATGTTCATGTACGGCGGATGAGTAGAATAAGGCGCTGTGTAGGAAGATTTGGTCCTGGAGAATCCAAGAAAATGAGAGTGCTTCAGAATTCGCGCTGCGAGGGAGGTCGACGCAGTGCTCAATGGGATAGAAGGTGCCTTTAAGAGCATTGAAGTTGACCACTGACCCCAGTCAGATGAAGTGAGATTTGCAGCATCCAAGGGGGATGTCTTACATCTGAAGAGTATTTCCTGAGATGGCCTTTCCAACTCTTCTGCGAAGCGAATCAGAGACATGTCGCTGGGTGGCGGATGAGGGACCGGAGGCATCAAAGCCGAGGTATCATTTTGAGCGACCTCTCCTGTGCTCGGAGCCTGAGAATGTTCTTCAGCTTGCTGCTTCTCATTATACGCGGTGCAAGGCCAAGGCTTGATAGGGGAAGCCGAATGATGAAGCGACTGGAGCCCGGCATTCTCGCTCACAGTTTGAGCGGCTGCCCTCTGCACTTTACGAGCAGCTTGTTTGGATCGCCGCGAGCCTTCTTGTCGATTCTTACCGATCATACATCGACTACGAATTACTGATCGGTCTGTGGGCTGTGTCCGTCCCGAACTGCCGACAGTTACGAACGCGAAGTCAGCCGGCATTGCGGTACTGAAGATGTATGGAACTGCAGCTTCTGGAAAATATGATTGCAATAATGATCTAAGTAACTAACTGAGTCGATTCGAGCTATGATAAATGATAAACAACATGAGTATAGGATGAATGAAGGAAACGCTTTGAAAGCAGAAGGCCATGACCACACAAGCCGCCCCGATAGGTACCATCACACGGAGGAGCTCCGGAGTTAAGACCCCACTCCATCTGACCACATTGTTGTCCGGTTCGGGCAAGCGTCTTACTCTCGCCGGGTACTTCGCCCTTGTCTCCTGCAGCCTTAAGGCCTCCGGCATCTTTCCCATTCGTCGTCGCCTCGAAGATCGCTGCGTGAGACTAGAAGAAGGAGATGACCCGGCCAACCTCCAGTCCTCCCTGAAATTAGACAGTCTTCCACACTAGTTCGAATTGCCTTCTCTAGGTGGCGGACCGGTAAAGACCTGTTGCGGTCTCCATAACATGGGACCCTTTTCGAGCATCGCCTCACGCCAGTGCGCCAACACCCCAGGCATGCGTGACAAGCTTGCCATGGCCACGATGATGTCGGTTTCGAAGCCAAAGGCAGTGTACAGGAAACACCCGTAAAGGTCTGCATTAGCCTTCAAGTTACGGCTCGTAAAGTACTTGTCGGCATTGGCGACGCGGTCAATCTCCATCGCGATGGAAAGCAAAGGATTCGACTCCACTCTGTCCTTGTACTGGTCGATCATGGTGCGGATGAACTTGGCTCGGGGGTCCACGGCCTTGTAGATGCGGTGGCCGTACCCGAAGAGACGCTGCTTCTTGGCCTTGACGTCCGCTATCAGCAACGGCACGTTTTCCGGGGTCTTGAGATCCTCAAAGGCCTTGTAGGCTAGTTCGATGGCGCCTCCGTGGAGCGGGCCATACCCGGACACAAGACCAGAGATACAGCACGCAAGGGGATCTGTCAGGGTCGAGGCAGCGTGTAAGAAGGCGGCGGTCGAGTTGGTCATTTCATGGTCAGCGTAGAGGATCCAGAGCTTCTCGAAGCATTTGACAATCTCCTGATTAGGCTTGTTACTGTGTTTGTCTTCATGGAAGCCCATCATGCGCAACATGTTGGCGATGAAAGACTCTTCGGGATCGGCAGGGGTGAAGGTCTTGTTGCGCTTGCGGCAGTATACAAGGGCAACAACGGTGGCGAGAGCAGAGATGCAGCCGATGAGAGCTTCATCGACCTTGTCAGCTTGGCCCATGAACGCTGGTCGTCCGGACTGGAGTGTGGTAATGGCACCTTCGTCATGGCTAGCATAGGCGGCCATGCCAGCAAAGACCATTGTGCTCGTCAAGGAATCTCGAGGGAAAGACTCAATGACTTCGATAACGTGAGGAGGGGGGATGCAGCCGGCAGCAATCTTACGCTGGAAGATATCCTTCTCAACCGCGTCAGGGAGATGACCCCAGATCAGGAGAAAGACAACCTCCTCATAGTCGTGGTTCTCAAAGAGGTATTCAATTGAGTAGCCGCGGTAATGGATAGATCCATGTCCGCCATCGATATAGGTAATGTTCGACTCGACGCAGGCGGTATTCAGGTACCCAGGATCCAGGATTTTTAAACCGCAATAACTGACGGAGTTGACATCAGCCTGGACGGAAATGATCTTTTGAAGTTCGAGTGCTTTGATTGCGTTTCGGTTGATTGGGATTTCGTACCGCCGCTGGGTGCGGTTGTCACAAACTGTCAAAGTCCCACTCGATGGATCGGCCTTAGTCCCGAAGAGTAGGCTGCGTGCAAGCTGTGTCGGCAGCATCAATGTCTGGCCGAGTTTGCTGAAAGGTTGAGTTACATAGGAAGCGGTAGCGGCACCGATGTTGTAAGCCGTGCTCCAGAATGAGTTTCTTAAACGCAGGTATCCTGGATGAAGCTTCTGAGCTTCATCACTCTTAAGGATTTTCTTGATAGTAAGGCTTTCTTGAGTCGAAGTTCGTTTGATCGACTTCCGGAAGTCTTTTGCGGTGTTCATTGAGTTGTCTTTGGATTGGACAACTGCCTGAGTAGTGTAATTGGTGTCCATGGTGTCGAAGTTTGTTGAAATATAGCTAATGAAGATACTTCTTCTCTCTATTTCCAACTTCAGACGAGCACCTCTATCACTCTTAAATATCCAGAAACCTCATCCCGCGTGTCACCAGATCGTATCAGTTTATGACTGGGCGGCAAGGGATACAGCTGACACGGGGAAACATCCAGGACTCCAGCACAACGTGTCAAAGCAAGTGAATCATTTCTTTCGCCCGAGCAACTAGAAAAGAAGCCGCGATAGGAAACATCTTGCATTCCGAAAATTACAGAAGGCAGCAATAGACCCCAATGGGGGCTCCATCTCGCCCGGTCATCGAAGTCTTCACGCCGACGCCGAAAGCTCTCAGCGTAATTGCGGAAACGCTTATTACCGCAACCGCGTGATGTCGAGGTGCTGACCCTCTGGGCTGAGCGTATGTGGTGAAGTGGAACAATCTGGGGGCCATGAAATCCGTCGACCCCAGTGAGTTATCGTGAGCATGGCCTCTGAAGCCCAAAGTTGCGCAGCTGCCAATGTAAGGCTTACATTTCCACCTACACTCTCTCCGTCTAGGCAGTGTCATCAGCTCCGAGTCATCAGAGCAGAGCCTCGTAAAGAGTTCAGGACTCTTGTTTCGGTATTGGGTACACCGAAAAGACCCGTAAATTACTCCTGAATTCAGATTGGCGGTGCCTGATTCCGATCACGCAGGCACACCAGGCTGCGATGTGTCTACGCCGTTCTCGCACATTAAGGCTGAGTGCGGCGCGGGGCCTTGGCCCGGGCCGGAAATAAATACTCGAGTCGCGGAAATACAATTGATTGTATTAAGTAAGGTTGCTCTCGAGTTTCCTTAGTACTCAATTTTTCCTTCACATGACGAAAGGTCGGAGGTGTACGGAGTAGTTCGGTGAAGATAAACTTGCGGCTGAAAACGCCTAATCCGGACACCTTTTTCACTAAAATCAAAACTAGACCGGATTAGATCGAAGAAACAATAGGGTCAAAGTAAACTTCGCATCTGATGTATTCTTACACTTAATTGGGCAGAGGGTTTATGGACGAAACGGTGATGCTGTCCACTCTAACGGAAGGTCTGGTCGGAGCTCAACGGTGGACGGGCCCCACAAGAAGCCGATCGAGGCGGCGGTCGGACGTGAGTAAATGCCGGAAACTACAATCCGGTACGGTTCGGCGCCCCTCCAGACGGACCAAAAGAACGGGGCATCCTCAAACATGTATCACACCCGGATACCTTGTTTCCCCCAGAAGAATTTCCGAAAAACAAATCGTTGCCTTATTGGTGAGGCTGAATGAGCTCAAATGGGTGATGCCGCGGAGTCTATGGAGCGCGACAAAGCTGTAGTTGACCTGACCAAGCATGTGTCAAAAGTCTATTTCAGCAGTATTTCTGCTAGCCATATGCGCTATTAGGCTAATATCAGCGCAAACTCTCCATCATGCCACATGGCCGCGTTTCTACAATGGAAAGGAGGTGAGTCTGTGAGTACAAGTACACTTCTTCCCCCAGAAGCTGGGCTGCCAGAAATCACACAAAGCTTGGCGGCGTCTTCATCGTCGATCCCAAAGTCCGCTTCCGAGATTCCGAGGTCGGCTCTTCACTGAGAACCCCGGGCCCGCACATTGTAAAAGCAGGGGCTTTCTGATCAACTGCGGGGAAACGTTTGTGGCAAATGTCAAGTATATGTTTGAAGGAACTCCAGTAAAATCGCAACCGAATCCGGCCGGCCCCTGCAATTATTCACCATAGCAGATGCACCTACAGGTGGCCAACTCGCGAAATGGAAAACACAGCAAAGACATCCGCATATGACTATAGGCGTTATGTTCCGCCAAAAGGAAAGTACTCATCAAGTAGAGCTTAGCTTCATCATCTTGTTCTTTGCAACAAGCGGCGTACAGCTAACAACGAACAGACTGGTCGCGATTTGAGGGGATAGACGTCAGTGATCCTCATAAGTACTCAGAGGCTATCCTGAAAAGTCCGCATCTAGAGGCTATCCGGGAAGACTGGAGAAAGAAACTCGATGCCCCATTCTACGGCGTCACAAACGATGGGAAAAGGAGAGAAGGCCTGTATCAAATTCGAGATGAAGGCGCGCCAACGAAACAGATGGTAAACCCGAACGATCGGCTCCAGCTGACCCTACGTATTGCCAGCATGTGTTGACTCCAAACAGGTTGACGCGGCTCGTAGAGTGCTAGACTCGCTCAGTCCGTCCGAAAAAGCAGATACAGTCTACGACGTGGATTCGGATACATGGTACGTCGCTTTTCCAGACAATAGGAACCAATAGGAACCAGATTTGACCACAGTATTGATGAGCTACCTTCGTCCGAGCAGCAGAAGATGGAGTAATCCAGAGTTTGTGTTGCATCAATGCGGTATACGCCTCGAGGACCTCGAGACAACGAAAACAGAGGCCATCATAGGTCTCTTGGAGCAATCTCTAAGCCCTAGTGGCTTTGCCAAGGTCCGAGGAGCAATGAAAGTGAATAAGTTCTTGGGGAAAATTTGTGGAAAAGAAGCCATATTGAACGAACACAGCTATTCGTGAGAACCCCGGTGCCTTCTTTCTATTCCATCTGACTAAAGATAATGCTTGCATTCAGTTTCACGTTATTCGGTGAGCCCTCAGAAACAGAGCCCTGGGGTTACATGTTGTTTGGCCATCATCTATGCTTGAACGTTTTCGTCGCTCGCCAGCAAATGGTGATAGGACCAGTCTTTATCGGCGCTGAGCCAAACGTGGGTTCTTCATCATCTGTCTAACCCAGGTCATTGAAAAAGCTGACAGTGCGGAAGATCATTGACGAAGGCCTCGACAAGGGCCTCACGCTGTGCGCCAACGAGGGCCAGCTGGGCCTACAGCTGATGCAGTCTTTACCTCCGATGCTGCAACAGAAAGCTCAAATATACCCTACGATGAAAGATCCTGCAATGCCAGAAGGTCGATGGAACCCAGCTGACCAGGTATGATGTTGTACTCCCGTCTGCGGATTCTTGGCCAACAGATATTTATAGAGACACATGGCTGGAGCCTTCCAAGACAATCGCGTGATTCCTTACGAAGGTGTCGTTGTCACCGACATGTCCGAAGAGCAGCAAATACTCATCATGGCTATTGTGCATGAGTTCTTGGCCCTATGGCCTGCTGAGCCACTCCGTTACCGTTTGAAGCAGATACTCAAGCACCTCACCGAAACGCATTTTTGTTGGATTGGCGGGTTCGGAGAAGATGACCCTTTCTATTACCGTATTCAGAGTCCGGTGGCACTCTTTGAGTTTGACCACCACTCGGGGGTCTTCCTGACCAACAAAGAGCCCGCCAAGTATCACATCCACACGATCCAGAGACTTCCGAATGGCAATGACTACGGGAGGGCACTGCGGGAACTGATCCGACCTCGATAGGAAATGGACGATCTAGTATCCTCGTGGCTTTTTTTCCGAAGCGCACTTTGTTGGACGAATCTTGTAACATCTCCAGTTTTGAGTTTATTGAGTGCCGAGCGTAGGAATCACGTCCTGTCTTGGCGTGGTGTTAGGTGCATGAGGATCGCCACGGCCCGCTCAAGGCAACCAAACGGATTATCTGATTGACTTAACCACCATTTGTACGTCACATGTCAGCCGCATAGCTGTGGATTCTCGAGGTGCAGTTTTCGTAATGTGCCAAGACGTTGTTATGGCGAAGCACTTGGCCCCGCGACCGTTGGCGGAGGTGATGCGCTGTGCTAGAGCCCGCCGTCTTGGCCCGCAGGGCTTCACGGCTCGGGATTCTGAGTCGGCGGTGATCGCCACAAGTGACATCAGCCTCCGGACAAGAATCAACGACAGCATTTTGAGAATCATGTCGATGGAATACCCTCGTGGGACGATGGGTTCTTGGGACTTCATGGAGTCCCGTTCAATTGCACTTTATTGCCCGAATAGCAACGGAGAATTGACTCTTAAGTCTTGCAGTTTTGTATATTGCGTTCCAAACCTCAATGATATAAGAGACATGGTGCAGCCAACAGCTTCAGGGAGGGATAACCAGTCTAGTCTCAAACCTTAACAATCCAGTCGCGGAGATTTATCATCCAGTCGCAACCTTCCAACAACGTCAGCTCGTGTCACTGAGATGTTAGGTACAGTACTACCGAGCCGATCCCTCGGTGAGGAGACACCGACGGAGTTTGCCATCCTTTCACCAGCCTATGCCTTTTTCTTCGTAGCAGTGGGCTTGCTACTCTTTTTTCTCTACAGACAAGCTCTTCCCAAACCGATTCCTGGCATCCCTTACAACAAGGCTTCGGCGAAGAGCATACTTGGGGATGTTGCTTCACTGCAAGAGGGGATAGCCCGAACGGGCGCGTTCCAGATATGGCTTCACGAACAAGCGGCAAAGCACAACTCGCCCCTTTTCCAAATCTTCATCCGCCCTTTCGGAAAACCAATGCTCATTCTCTCTGATTTCAGAGAGGCCCAAGATGTGCTTTTGCGGCGGGGCAAGGAATTCGACAGAGCGAGCATCGTGGGGGACATGATCTCAGGGGCTGTACCCAATCACCACATCATCATGAAGACGAACAGCGAGTGGAAGCACCACCGAAGACTCCTTCAGGACCTCATGTCTCCCCAGTTCCTGAACGAGAACGCCGCGCCCATCCTCTACTCTGGCATCCTGCAGCTCATTCAGCTCTGGAACGACAAGGCCCGCATTGCAGAAGGCCGCCCCTTCCAGGCCGACTCCGACATCTACTACTCCATTCTTGATGCGACCACAGCCTTCTCCTTTGGAGCCGGTGCCAAAAGTGCCATCCGTCCTACCGTGGACCTTGTGAAAGGCTTGGGTGCTGATGACATTCGCCAGCTCCGAGGATCAATGCCTGCTGGCGGCGAGCAGCCTCTGCACTTTCCCACTGCCAAGATCGACGAGAGCCTCAGGGCATCGCTTGATGTAGCGGATGCAATTGAGCAGCTTCAAGGGTCGCCCGTCCCTAGACTCAAGTGGAAACTCAGCGTAGAGAGGCAGCCCGCTGTACGCCGAGCGATCCAGATCAAAAACGCTTTCCTCCGCGAGGAGATCAGCAAGGCCCTGGACAGAACGCAGAACTCCAAGGAGTCCAAGGAGCATTCTTCTGCCGTTGAACTCATGGTTTCAAGGGAAAAGAAGCTCGCCGATAATGATGGCAGGAAACCAGACTTCTTCTCTTCTATGATGATGGACGAGGTAAGTTGGAAGTATTCGCTCCATGATCATTGATAGTCTCCCGTCTCACACATCCCTAGATCTACGGACTCATGATAGCAGGGCACGACACTACCAGCACCACCTTAGGTTGGGGTGTCAAGCTTCTGGGAGACAACACAGACTCCCAGTCTAAGCTCCGCGAAGTCCTCGAGTCCGCCTTTCCCGACGCTGCTGCCGAAAACCGAAACCCGACAATCAAGGAGATCACTGGAACCAAGGTCCCATACCTGGATGCCGTAGTAGAGGAGATTATTCGTCACGGCAGTGCCGCTGTTCTCCTGGATCGTGAGGCTATCTGCGACACGGAACTCTTCGGTCATCGAATTCCTAAGGGCACCATCATCCTCTCGCCCGCCCGCGGACAGAGCATCCTGAAGCCCTCCATCCCAGTCGATGAGTCTATGCGCAGCAAGAGCAGCCAGAACGCAAAGGCCAGAGCCTGGGACGACGCAGACATCACTCACTTCAAGCCGGAGCGCTGGCTGGTCGATGCCAACGATTCCCCGCCCGAATTTGACCAGCAGGCCGGGCCTCAGCTTGCGTTTGGCTTTGGTACCAGAGGCTGCTATGGACGACGTCTGGCATACCTCGAGATGCGCATTATCGTCACGATGATTGTGTGGAACTTCCAACTGCTTCCTTGCCCGAAGGAGCTGTCTGGCTACGCGCCCAAGGAAGGCTTCACGTATAAGCCCAAGGACTGTTATGTGCGCTTGCAGGCGCTTCATTGAGCTGAGGACGAGAAAGTTGTACTTGCCATGTATTCTTAAAAATTGTCTTTCCATTCGGGTGTGGTGATTTCTTGCTTATTCCAGCTAGCGAAGGCATTTAGATTGAGTTAAGGCGATCGGGATCGGGATAGAGGCATGCAGGTTCTACCAAATAAAGCACTATTTGATGCAGAGTCTTCATATGTACGCATCCAAGACAATAGAGGGTGACTTGTAGAACATCTCGGTTTCCGTGATAGCCTTAGAGTATTGCGCCTCATAAACACCAAGACCCCGAAGGTGGAAAGAAACTATAGCCTTGAGCAGGTCATTGATTTTGCCGATTGGTCGACTAGCCTGTTGGCCCAGTGGAAGGTATCAACAATTGAAAAAGAAAAAAAACCAAAAGCTCGGGTTCTCAGTCCATGAATCGAACAGGCTACACCTACGAAACCCTCCATCTTTGCATACTTCTCGAGATTTCATACCAAGTTCGTATACCAACGGACTAAAGCGTTGTACCGCTCGACCACACGGATCAAGGGGGCTTGGTTGACGAGTGAGCGATCCCAATCTGAATATAAGGCATACGCCTGCGGTTCCTGCCTGGGATGGATAGGATTGACGGTGCAGAAGGAAGGAAGTTTAGGCGACGGGCTTCTTTCCCATTTAGCCCATGGGAAGTATTTCACGTGCCATTATTCATATCACTCAAATTTCTGACTGCAGCACAAGCATGGTATTAGGAGCCGGATGCCTCGCTTAAAAATCGACGTTGTTTCAAATCCAATTGATACGATTGTTGTGAAGTATGTGACCCCCCCTCCTTTAACATCTTAATTCTTTTCTTCTAAAATTCCAGCAACGACTAGGACGCTTGAGCTCCAGCCTCGAAAACGTTGATTACACCGTCGCCATTGAGATCAGCCGGGTCACCGGGTGCTGCGGGAGTTCCGTTGGGGTTGTTGCGGTCAAAGGTGCTCTGAAGCTGCTCGATCAAGCTTGAGCCACCGCCGCCTCCGTTTCCACCTTGCTTTGGTTCCCTCGTGTCCAAAGCGCTGATGTCTTGGCCTTCATCGTCATCTTCTTCGATGTCCCTGGCTACAAGCTCGTCAAGGTCTCTATCGACTAGGATAGCGCCGCCTACGTCGCCACCGGGGTTATTTGAGGCGACACGTGCCTGGAGGTCCGAGATGGCTTCATTGCCAGACAACGGTTGGGGAAGTGCAGTCACAACGCTGCTCAAGAAAAGAATGGCGACGGTGGAGAACTTCATTTTTGCTGATGATAGGAAGGACAAAAGGTGGTTGCTGGTCGGCGGTATTGTAATATAATTATGAGAGTCGTAAGACGATGACTACTGCCTGAGTAGTGAGGGAAGAAAGCTGCAAGACTAGCGGAAGTTTACTGAGAGCGAGACGAGATACTTCCGAGAGTTAATTAGACTTAAGTTGCGTTACTCGTGAGGCGCCTTTTATATCAATCACGCTCAAGTGCGTCTACTTTCGTTGGATACCATCAGGCATTGAGTGTGGTGTTCCATGATGGTGATGCAAAACTGTTTGGGTTTTTCTAGCTTGGGCATGTCAAAGTTGCCCTGGCAAGGAGATCCTAGAATATGAGAGGGATAGCCTCTCCAGTCTCCGTCGACAGAAAATGAGACGGTGTTTGACACGATGATGTGACTGCTGACTCAGGCGCACCTGTGCAAGGCAGAAAAGGCACTCTTAACATGGAAGTTGCTGGGGAAAGCTCCTGACTTATATGTCGTTGAAACTACTTATCGATTCCGTCTCAACTTCCTTTGGTGTGACATATGTCAGTGTCTCAAACTGCAGCCCCTATTTCCCCATCCTCTGACGTTCCCCTCAAGCTTAAAACTATCGTTGGCAAGCTAGAACAGCACCAGACGTCCACACCGGTGTTTCATCTAATCACGCGCGATCAAGCTATTGAATTCATCTTTTATTATTTCAGACGTCAACCAAGAGAAGATGCGTACCGCTTGAGCACAACGCGAAAGCGATCGTGCGAAAGCGATGCATCAGACCAACCCACACGCAGTCGCATGTTCTGCGGGACTTGATATGGAAGCCCCAGCGCACTACAAGATGTCCCCCACTTTGGACATGTCAACAGGCTCTCTAAGCCTAGACTCTAGATCAAAGTAAGGCGATGGAACGCGCGGGTCAATTGCTTGTCCGAGGAAAAGATCGCAGAAGGCCTTTGTTGACAGGAATACGCGGGCCATGCCTAGAAAGTTACCTTCCCATTAGCACAGGATGTAGAAAAGGAAACGTCCGAATGGAAAGATGCGGTTCGAATTTCTCCAGCACGATTATCAAAACATGGAGGTGGGAGACGTTGAAAAGACGCATGATGCTTACCGTGACCGTGATAGCCACCGATGAGGTATTGGCCAGGCTTGCCGGGCAGCTCTCCTATGAAGGGCAACAAGTCCTTGCTGAGCCCCATGATGCCGCTCCAAGCAAATGGAACAGAATCTCTGACCCCAGAACTTGGGCTTTCGAGAGACTCCTGCCAGCCCTTGAAAGTCCGAGATGGCCCTTTTTTGATGAAGTCAAGCACCTCGGGAACGACAAAGGAGTCATCGCAGTCTCCGTAGCCGCCTTCAGGCCCGTTCGGATGTGCGCCTTCTCCTCCACCCCAGATCAGGTACTTCTGTGGACCGGGACGTTGTATGAGATAGTCGTAGTTTTCATCGGACACGAAAGCAAAAGAAGTTGACAGCGGTAAGTCGATGTATGCGCGCGGAGGCGGGATGGCCGCAACGTGACCTTTGAGAGGAATGATGCGCCCATCAAGTTCCGGCAGTAGATGGGAGGCATACCCATTTGTGGCGTGTATCACCTTATTCGCAGTGATTTTACCGCGACTAGTCGTGACAGTCCAACTACCATGCTCACTGTCGGCTCGAGAAACTTTCAGCACTGGAGTGTTGGTCTCAAGCTGAAGGCCAGCCTCGAGAGACTTTCGTATCATGGCCATGGCCAGCTTATACGGCCAGAGACTCGAAGCAGGAAACGTGATGGCGCCAAAACAGCTCCTGATGCGAAGCGTTTTTTCGGCTTCAGCCTTTAGCAAGACATTGATTTCGGAGACGTCGCCGCCCGCTTCCTTGAAGCCATTGTAAGATGCGAGTCCTGCTTTCCAGGTGTTTTCCGTTAAATACACATCCGCGGACCGATATTCGACGAGGTCTGTCTCTTCTTCTAAGCCGTTTCCTCGGATGTATGATAATGTTTCTCGGTGGTTGGCTCCTTCAAACGTGCACTGAGCGGCAGCTACTTGAGGGCCGTGTAACTTGGAGTATGCGGTGAATCCACGATAGCAATCGGGTTTAATATGGCCACCTACAGCATGATTGTCAAATCTCGCTGGGCTTGAATGTAATGTGCTGGTTGATAATGCGAACTTGCTTACCATTTCTACCCGTGGCACCACTTACCGCGGCCCGGGCTTCGAGCATCAAGACGGACTTCGGTCTGCTGGGCGACTCATCTGTAAGCAGTCGATGAGCAATGAAGGCTCCGGAAATGCCAGCCCCTATAATGACTACATCTGCCGAGGCTGGAAGGATACGACTAGAAGCGCTCAGGGTCAGCCATCTTTCGAAGTGGCCGCCGCATCAAGTGAGGACTCCAGAGCCGATGGGCATAGATTGCCCTGCTCACACTAGATCCTCGGCCCCAACGATTTTTGATACACTTGAGAGACGCTATGGACTTTTCCAAGGCAGAATCTGTGTTGGGGTTCATCCAACTTACGACTGGTGGTTGCTTATGACTGAATCTGGTTCAGACTGCCAGAACGCAGATGTTGGTTTACCGACTGGCAACGTCGCCGTGTAAGTTGGACACGATGCCATTAGTCAATATGCTTAATGACGGAACCAGACCTGCTTCACGATATGGGCAACCTAGATGCGCGTTGTCTCCAACTTTGAAGGAGGCTATCTATCTAATGCTTGTATTGAAGATGAGGCCTGCACTGATAAGCCAGCTGGGTACCTGAGGGGAGCGCGGGGAACATGGCCACCCCACCCAAGCTAGAGTGTTCCCCACAAGGACCGCAGATGTAATGTCTGAGTCCCGAAGTTGAATACCATCGCGAGGTCGGTATGGTGAAGACAAACTCGTGTGTTTGTTTCGCTTTGGAGATGGACTTGTTGGGTAGCGTAATGCCCCAAGCGACAAAAGTACACACACTGGCCTCTGCGTCCATTCTCGTCTTGGAGAACGATGAGTTCGTCTCTCTTCAGTGCAAAAGAGAAGCGTCAGTTTCTCAATCGATTGACCATGGTTGAAGGTTGCTTTTGTCAAGACGGGAAAAAATTCTCCACTCGGGCCTCGTAGTTGCAGCCTGTTCATCAGCTTTTTGATACAATTTTCACTTTCATATCCATGTTGACCAAGTAGGTAGCCAAGAGTCAGTCCCCATCAGTCAGCAGTCCAGCGAAAGTGTAGGCTCGTTGGAAATGTAGAAAAAGGTTTGATAGGCATCGCGGTCCCAAAATGGGCCAGGCGATCATAGCCGCCGGCGCGTGCCCGTTGTGGAAAGCAGGCTGTGCAGTTGGGAATGGTAATTGGGCCGACCCAATGGCTTTGCCGCCCAGAGTGCATGATATTACACGAGCCAGTGTTTGAGGTTGAAGTTGCAGCGTATCATTGCCTTTAAATGATGGACTCGACTCACAGTGGAAATAGAGTCAATGTTCAAGTACTTGATCGACCACGTCTTATTTGAACCTGGAAGTCATTTTGATTCTACTCTGGCATCTGTCTGGTCCTTCTTTAGCAGAAATCGCTTTCACAATTGTTAGAAATCATATCTTTGAGCCTAGCTATCAAGCTCCCAACAATTCCAAGACTTGCTTTGCAATGTCCAGTCAGTCTTTTGAGCTCCTCACTCGTGTAGAGACCGGCAGCTACTCCAACGTACCCCTCCGAAGAACACGAACTTCTCAATCAGCCCCTTGTCAGGTCGCTCAGACTGTAGACTCTTCATCAAGTTCGAGTCATTTCACAACCTCTGAACGCTCGTCTCGAGACGATTATGGGCCTCCAAACTCCCTAGACACATTTCACGAAAGCAGCCCGCTTCGACCTTCAGGGATTCAAGTCAGGCTCGGTGACCAGACCTTCTTCAGATTCAAATCAAAGCCCGACAAGTCAACAGATGATCGACTCAACGATTTCATTCATCGGGTAGAGCCACTGTTGCACGCCCGTCTGAAGAAGACTGGCGGCAGGATCGGGCCGACGGCATTTCATACAATGAACCTCGGGACTACGGAAGAGAACGCCTATCAGCACGTCATTGTGCTTTGCCCTTATGATCTGCGAGAGGTTGTCAAAAAGTTCTTGGAAAAGGACCGCGTGATCAGAGAGCTACGCGAAAGTTTCGATCAAGGGCAGCCAATCAGTATTATCGTCGACGGTCGAAGATCACGCCTCATAGAAGACAGCTAAGCCATCGCATCCACTCTCAATCATCATTTGACCATGTTCACGACTGCGCCGACAACTGTTTAACGAGAAGAATACGAATTACCTATTGACTTTCTAACGGAATATCGGCCGGCAACTTCTTCAATGACGACGCTGTGGTAAGCTCTGAGGACGAGGACTAGCAAGCTTTTTGGGTAAACAGCCTCAGAGAAAAGGCGCACAATGGCTTAAAGGAACGAGAGAGTTAAGCTTATGTAAACTTTACAGGAGTAGTCTACGATAAGAATATAAGGGCCTGAATTTAGATCACACTCAAATTTAAACATCTTTTTGAGTTCGGCTTGAGCAGATGGCGGTCACAAGAAATACCAGGGATAGCCCGAAGATAGTTTGCCGACTAGACCGAGAAGAGTTTGATAATGCTACGAGGTTATGAAAACACCCTCTTGAAGGTTTCAACGCGTCAACTGACTACGAATGACGGGGAGTCACAACCATCTTCAGAGAGGCATCACGATGTTTCCCAGAAGACGAGGCAAACAAGGACAATAAACAGACTTCCCTCACGAAGTCAAACGGGTATTCAACAGAGAATCGAGGCAAAAGAAGAAAGCCTAGGAAAAAAAAGGAGGTCAAGATTTCCCATCGGGAACATGATCCTGCCCCCTTTCCCTATAGCCCCTATTTATACATGTACATACAAGAACATCCAGTTGAGAATGCTGTCCTCACGGCCGTGCGCGTTCGCGTTTCGCCCTAGCCCATGCCCTTGAATCCCTCAGCCCCTTTGCCCGTGTCCTGTCCTGTCCTCGTCCAGAAGTTTTCCCAATGATGTGTGTGTTTGTGTGTGAATGGTGTTTTGTCATTAAAATGACCCGGATCTCGTGTGTCGAGTCCGAGCGGGATACAATGCCGTCGTCGTCTATTACGACAATCGTTCTTGATTCATGAAGTGTGGGTATGGTGATCGTGTGCTCTACAAGGGGGCAGGGGGCTCATCGACCATCTCAGCGTCCTCGGTGACGGCCAGCACAGAGTCAAGGACGCCGTCGGGACCCTCGCCATCGTATGTTTTGCCGCCCTCGTACGTCTTTCGTCTCCAGCCGCAGGACTCCGACGGGTCCTTGGTCCACTCCGTTGTCGGGAAGTAGTGCTCGTTCTTCTTCATGGTGATGACCCAAGGTACACTGTCAAAGGTGACAGCCTTAAGTCGGAAGTCTGCAAGAATCACGATTAGCTGATGTACAAGAGAAGATCGGGACGGAATGCCACTTACAGGTGTTGTCTGGGATCTTCTGGACGGAAGCGAGGAAGGTCTCCAGATCGGGTGTCGCCTTTCCGTTCACGTGGGTGATGAAGTTGGTGGGCGCGAGGCCGTACTGGTAAGAAGGCGAACCGCGAGTGCGGGCCGACACGTACACCTCGCTGTGCAGCTTGCTAATCTGCTGTCTGACGGCATGATGAGGTCGGTGCAAGATGGCACCACAGAAGGAGATGGCATGGTCGGTCTCGACATCGTCGGCGGCGACGGTGTGAGCCTTGATGTGGATCTCCTCGCAGTTGCGGACGATGACGGCGTCGAGGACCTCGTGAGAGTACATGATGTCCAGCTCGGAAACCTTGGTAATGACCTTGCCGTTGAGAGTGAGCAGGATGTCACCCTCAAGCAGAGCGCTTGACTGCTCGCTGCGCTCAAAGGTCCGTTTGCTGACCATGAACAGCTGGTGGTGTGTCTTGTTTGCTTCGGTGACCTTGCTGATCCACTCGTCAGAGACGCCCATCACTCTAGCCTGAGCCATGGCGATGGCTCTGAACTCGACGGATAGCATGCGCAGCTTGGGAACGATGCCTTGTTGAATTTGAGACACGACAGGCAGCAGAGTAGGCGTAGCGAGACCAAGGTGGTACTCCTCATCACGGTTGCTGCAAGGAGAACGCTCGCCCAAGTAAGTGAGCCACAAGGCCTGGACCGTACCATCGTCGGCGACGAGAACACCGCTTCCGCACTGGTTGCTGAGACTCGTATCAACAGTGATGGCATCGACGTTGATGGCACGGTATCTGGGTGCACCAGAGTTGGCCGGGATCGCCACGGCGGTGACCTCGGTAACTGTAGTGGAGGCGTGGACAATCTTTCCAATCCTGTTGTATCCCATGAAGTTGGTGGAAGCTCCTTGAGTGATGTTGTCCGTGCTCAACCTCGCACTTTGAACGGGAGCATTGACCAGCGCCGGGTCATACTGCACAATGGCATAGTTCTGAAGGGGATGGAGGAAAACGACCTTGCCCTCGACAATGATCGAGTCCGCAATGGTGATCGTCACATCGCACAGATCGTAAGGCACAATTGCTCTTGAGATGACAACAAGACCCTTGTCGGCGTCAATCACCAGGCCCATGCCCCACTTCCTGTTCTTAGGGAAGCCGTCCAGCTTAACAGGCATGGTGCAGTTGACATGGACGAAGCTGCGCACTAGATCGGCAATGGCCGTGTGCTTCACATTCTCGAGTTGAATGAAAGAGGCGGAGCGAGCAACAGGCGCCTTGGGGGGAAGGGGATCAGCCAGGTCAGTGAAGTCCCAGAGGCCAGTCTCGTCGTTCCGGACAGCCATCTTCATCTTTGCTGACCAGTGACGATCGACGTAGATGATTGTGGTGTTCAGAGTGTGCAGGTCACGCAGGTGCTTGTAAGTTACGACCACGCGGGACTTGTCTGGGATTGTCTTCATCACCTCGATGAAGGTTTCCAGATCAGGGGTCTTCTTGTGGTCCACGGTCTGAATCAGCCAGCCATTGTCTGCGTTGTCGAATCTGAAAGAGCCAGTCGCCTCGCAAACGAAGACACCTTGACACGCTACGCCGTACAGACGGGCCTGCTGGTATGACAGGCTGTGGAAGCTAGCGCCTGCGACGGACACGAAGCGGTCAGGGGTGATCTTGTGTAGGTCACCGACCTCGACATCGACCTCAATGTCCTCGCCGCCTCTTTGGATTTGAAGATGGATGGTCTGGCCAACGTTCGAGTCCAGCAAATCATCCAGACGGATGAACTGACCGACACGCTCGCCATTCACCTTCACCAGGATGTCGCCTTCCTCAATCTTCTGGTCAGACTGCCCCTTGGGAAGGACGATTTCGGCAACAAGCATGTTGTTGTCCTTGGGGAAGTGCTGGCGAGTCGCAGCCTCCGTTTCCGGGGTAAGGCCGAGGCGTCTACATTCGTCGAAAGGCTTCAGGAGGAATTGGCATTGAATGTCACCTCTTGTGACGGGCTTGCCCTGGCGAATGCATTCCAAAGCTCGTAACGGTCGATCCAATGGCAGGAAGTAATCTGTCGAAGCACCATCGGATCGTCCACCAGCTTGCAGAGCCACCGCAAAGCCGTCCACGTTCACAACCGGACTGCCAGAACTACCACCACTGGCGGCAGCATTGGCTTGGTAGTAGCAGGTGTTGAAATCGCTGTATCCTTCTCCGTATTCCGGCGCATTTCGGTCCAGTCGACTGATGAAACCAGACAAGATACTGAGCTTCTCTCCCGCATCGTTACCAACCACCCTGATCTCAACACCAACTGTCAAGCTGTTAGCGGATCCACTTCCAAACACTACCCATCAAGGTTGTTGCCTACCCTTTGCAAGGTCCGGACGAAGCACCAGCGCATTCAGCTTCATGTACTTGACAGCCTTGGGATCGAATCGAAGAATACCGAAATCGTGAACGGGGTCGCGGTAGACGGGGTACGCATCAACCTCTTCGTGGTTGTCGAAGACGACGTAACCCCAGAACGGTCCGGATCCAACGACGTGTCGGTTCGTCAAGATGTATCTGTAGTCCACTTCGTCAGCCCCCTGCCTCCCTATGATGACTTGCCTCCGTAAAATCCTAATCTTACCCCTTCTGAGCGTCCACCACGAAGCCAGTGGCCTCACTCGTTAACGCCGCATCCGTGTCAAAGGAGCATGTCTGGCAGAAGCGAATAGAGACAACGTTGCTGACAACGTTCTCAATGGTCTTTTGCCACGCCTCCGGCTCCTGCGTCATGGGAAACATGCCATTCAGCCGCGCGGCATCCTCGAACTCGCTCTCCTCCTCAAGCTCCTCAACGCGCTCAACCTCGGGTGTGTTGTCGCCGGCAGACAGCTTGCCGTTCAGGGCGCGATGCTGCTTATGGGGTCGCAAGCCCTCGGGGCTCGTAGGGGCCTTACGCTTGGAGCGCGGTGATGCGCTGTTGCCGTTCATGTTTGCGGTCTCGGTCGTTGTGGTCTGGGTAGAGGGTAGTTCGCTTTGCTGCTGCGCCGACAAGGGATCAGGTTCGACGGCGGCTGAGAAGGGGCGACGAGTCTGAGCGCCGATGGTTCGTCGCGTTGTCTTATAGCCGGTGTCTCTAGATGAAATGGCTCGAGCTAAACGGGAGTAGCCGCGTTGTGCGAACGGGAGGAGCTCGAGTTGGCGTCGAAAAAGCTGGGGGGAGGTAAGGGTGAAGGTTGTGGTGGTGGTGGTGGTGGTGACGGTGGTGGTGGATGCTGTCCAAGGTCGTCGTGCTAGTACTGCCGGGGTGGATGCAAGGCTCAAGCAAGTCCCTCTGCCTCCAGTAAAGACGGAGCGCATCCAGCGAGAGAAGGTGGAAGAAAAGGATGGCAACCTTCAGCTGTGGATACGAAAATGAACAATGCCTTTGTCAAATGAACGGCGGGCAATTGGCTGTCCCGGCTATCAGAGTAGGGTGTGAGTGAACCTCAAGCTGCTGCGCATGTGATCCCTCTATGAGTGTGGGAAAGGTGATCTAGCAGAGTTGTGCTGGAAACGCGAACACCTCTTGCCAACGTCGTTTGTCGTCAAAAATTTCAGGTGCGGGACGATGGCAAACAAACAGGATCTGTCCGATATGGGGGTCACCCAGGTGAGATCACCAGGCTAGATGCATAAGAGCCCGCTTAATGGGTGCATGTCCCGGGTGGGTGTCCATCCCTGCTAATTTTCTCCACTAATTCCCCGGTTGCTGATGTAATGTGACACTAGCGTCCCTATTGAGGCCTGTACAGTTCGCTAAGGCGGTCTAGCACTCTGGCAAAGTTCACTTTAACACTCTTGACGACAGACGTCAATGAGTGTGGTGCCTGGCCCGCAGGCCGAGATGGGACGGAATGGATCATGCTCTCACGCAGCACACCACCAACGACCGAACTCCAGGCTGCAAGAATATGCAGGTCTCACAACGTCCTGCTCGAATGACCGGCCGGGATGCACCTTGAATGGGAGTCCATGTTCAGCGACCTGATTCGTTGGAGAGCCGGTTTATCGATTGTCGGGCGCGGTTTCGGGGCTTCATCACCGCCCACCAAGTCACTTGATATTGTCTTCCAATGCGGACAATCATTTGTCGCCACCGGCTTCCAGCCACATCTGACTCCAAGCTGTCCTTTCTCTCTTGGTTTCCGGACTACAGCATGGTCCCGGGAGAGGTTACGGGGAGACAGCGAATGAGCCCGAGGCCCAAGACGATGGGCACAGCAAGAGAATCAAGATATAAGAGTGAAGAGTATCCCTTTTGATTTCTGATGACCTGAGCTACCCCAGGGACGTATGTGAACCCTAGAGCAATGAGTCGCACGTTCTGTCCCCCTTCCAAGCCATTTCAGAGTAATGTCCATTCCTTGCGCGGAACCCAATGAAAACCAACCGCAGCCATGTAGAGTGAGACGGCTATCCAGCGACGGCAGCAGCAAGTATTAGAAAACCTACTGCTCGCCATCCTTCTCATCCTTGGTCTCGACCTGAGTCTCAGATCCTTCGACCTTGGCCTCATCCTCATTCTCCTGAGCCTCTTCAGCCTCGGCCTTGACCTGGGCCGCCTTCTTGCCCGGGGTGCGTCTCTTCTTGGGAGTGCCATCTGGTTGGTAATAGATCAGCTTCATGCATCGTTGGGAATCGAGTATCTGGATGCGATACTTACCAGCGTTAGTCGCCGCAGCGCGCTTCTTCGGAGTGACCGGCTTGGTCTCCTCGCTGCGCTCCTGGTCGCCGTTGGCCTCCTCGCTATCCTCGGGAGCAGCGACAGCCTTCTTCTTGACGGCAGTCTTGCGGGCTTGGAGAGAAGTCAATTTGAATGTAGATATGAGTAGAAAAATGATGACTTACGGGTCTTCTGCTTCGGGGCAGCGGCCTCTCCGTTCTCGCCGGTGTTGATCTCACGCATCTGAGCAATGATAGCAGTCCACTGGCCCTGCAAGGCCTTCAGAGTGCGGCCCTCCATGTTGACGTTCTTCCAGTCAACTCCTTTGCCGTCAGGAAGCACGGTCGCGAGCACGCGGAGGACAAGCTGGAACTATATATCCGTGCGTTAGAGAACCTGAATGAAAGGAATGAAAATACGACTGAACTGAAGCCAGACTTACGCGCTCAGCATCGGTCCAAGCACCGACGCGACCAGCGGCAGGAGCCGCCTCGCTACCGTTGACGGACTTGGTGTCAGCCATGTTGGAACGATGGTATTCTTCTCTGCTATAAGTTCGGTTTGTCAGTAGCCAACGACGAGGAATATGTACTACTGATGGAAAGTAAGGAATGTGAGGACAAGAGATGAAAGATGCGAAGGTAATGACGGAAGTGAAAATGGTGGTGAGAGGTGGAAGAAGGTGCGAGAGGGTGGTGATGATAACGGAAGGAGATCGAGTGAGGCAGGTAAAAGATTTGGGTTGTGAAGGTGTATTGCTCACTTGTAGTGAAAACGGTGATAGACGATGAAGTTGTTGCAGCTTCGCTGTGTAACTGAGGTTCGAAGGTATATGGAGAAGACAATTGTGAGTGTGAAAAGAAGTATGACGGTGAGGAAGTGAGAAGGGTGGAATGAGAGGGTGAAAGAGCCGGGTTTTATGTGAGAGGTGGATGAGAATGTGGCAGGGCTCTGGCAGTGTAAATCAGGAAGGAAGGACGGGGAAAGGTTCAAGGCGTCTCCTTCCTCGAAGAGTTCTATCTTCTCAATGTGAGTTCAAGCTATGTTGAGAGCTCTCACGGTAGGAGACGGGATTCGTCTTCAGAATAAGCTCCAGAGGAAAGAAGGAACCTGATTCTCGGGAGGAAGGCAAACCTTACCACCCTCGACGAACCAAAAACATGCAATAAGTGTAAACCTCAGTGATGATATCTCACTACCCAGACAGATCCCCATAAACCCGAGAAAGAGAAACAAAAACCAAAAGACTCGAGGAAACTCCCTTCACTCACATGTTGCAAGTAAGATGCTTGAGCAGAATTCCCATGTTGTGTCCGTATTGATGCCAGCACATATTGTTGGCGAAATGCTGAGGGCCCTTTCTGAAGCTCGACTTGAGGGTCGGCTTGGGAGGTCTCAGCGGAGGAAGCGTAACAGCCTCCTTGCGCGTGCCGAGGGTCTTCGCCATGACTTATTTGATTCAAGTCGAAGTCGAAAAATGCGGTGCGAGTATGAGCAAAGTAGAGCAATTTTCGCTCGGCGTTTCGATTCCGTACAGCAAGAAACGATATCGCGGCTCGAGCCTTTCGAAGATAGGCAATGATTGCAAACGCAAGAGGTTTGTTTCCGAAAACAATTCAGAGAAGAGAAGAAAGGCGAGCAAGGCTTTCCTTGGATCAGAGTCACGACATAAGCGGAGCTAGACTTTTATTTCACGGGATCATGAGATCTAGGAACGTTCCGGATCTCGAGGCACGCTCAAGTCTCCGCCTCTTCCTTCTTGATAGAGAGAGAGACGTAGTAAGCAAGGCATTTGGCTGTGAACTGAGGGCCACAAAGGACAGCATGAGCTACCCGTAGAAAGGAAATTGATCACTCAGAAAAGGGCAGTAAAGAAAGAGAAAGGGGTTGGTTTGTAGGAAATCAGGAACTCGCGATGACTTCAGTGTTTATTGTGTTGGTGTTGACGCAAGGATCTAGGAGAATCTACTTCATTGCATGTAAATCTACGAAACGCCCCCTTGCCATTCATCTACATGGGCAGCGGAGAACAGGGATTGCCACATCTAACACGAAAGTAGTGACATAGCGAGATGTTCACGAGCATTAGAATAAACCACAACGACACAACGCGTAATTCTAATGATGCTGGTTGTCTATTCGTCTCCTCATGCCTGCTCAGCTTGAAAAGTTTCAAGCAAGTTTAATGGGGTTAGACTCAGAAGGGCCCCAAGAATCTGATATGTATTACACAACCCGATCCACCACAGTAGCCAAGGCAAGAAACAACCAAGGCCTGGCCATGCGAGGCTGTGCTGACCGTAGGTCAGCACAATCGTAAAGCATCGAATCGAAGAACCCCAAAAACCCAACGTAAAAGAGCAAAGTGCAAGATGTAGCGCAAATATGGGTGTATACACACACACCTCCCTCTTCGTCTATGTCATAATGGTGTGTCGCCGTTAACGATGTCGACGAGTGAGTGTATGTGCAACGCGGCCTGGTCGATTGTGCCAGTCAAGAGAGACAAGGTTGAATCGTGATTAATATCCCCCCAAATGCCGGGTATCGTTCCGTGTCGTTTCCCATTTAGTCCGAGCTGTCGTCAAAGTTGAAAAATACACCCCCGCAAGGTAAGAACAAGGATTTCGAGGGCAGTAGAATCCTTCCCAAGCAGAAGGCGCAAATAAAACAAGAGCCTTCGCTTATGCCATCTTGCCCTTGTATACCATGAACTCACGAATGCGTGCTTCATGGTCTTCGCATGCGACAGCCCACTTCCTTCGAACTTCCTTGTCTTGTGCCATCCACTCAAGATATTCGTGAATCTCATCATCGCCGCGAGAGACGAGGAAGGAATAGCCCTTGCGAGCTCGGAGATCGGCGATGTTTGCCTTGCGAGCGTTGAAATGCTCAATTACTTGAGCGTTGAAGATCTCCCATCTCAAAACGTAACTCTGGAAGTCCTGGGTGTACTTCTGCCAGGCACCGCCGGTCGGCTTCAAATTAACCGCGAAAGTAGGCGGGGGTCGGGGTGCTTGCGGGATGACCGGAAAATCGAGCGAGGGCTTCTTCTCCTTTTCGATCGGAGCGCGGCCTGACGGCTGACTCTCAAACGGCAGACTCATCTTGAGATCATTCAGAGAACCTAGGCCAGAAGAGTTTTGCGCAAACGGCGCCACGTTCTTGAGGTCAGCAAGGCTGGCTCTAAACTCCTCGCTGTCTTCAGAACCGGCATTGTTCGGGTTGAATTCTGGCTTGCGCGCAGGTAACTTCGGGCCGTTTTCTTGCAAGCCATTGCCTGGCCTCCATTCGGGACGAGATGGTTCCACAGGGATGTTTCTCGCGCTGTTTGAATGATCTCGCTTTTGAGAAGTCCCAGTCTGCGGGGGGTCGATGTCCATAGCATTCGGGCTGTTTGCACCAACAGGCTCCGCCATTGACTTTCGCCCCCTCCACTCGGTCTCCTCGTCACTGTCGTAGTCATCATTCACCAGTCCTGCATTGCCCCCTGCCGTCGGCTTAACCTTGGTCTTCCTAGAGTTGACTCGAGAAATTCTGGTAGGAGACGTTGAAGTAGAGTGCGTCTTGTGTGGCACAAAGTTTTGGGCCCCAATCTGTTGGGTCCAGTCTTGCGCATCAAACTTTCCTTCCGCAGAAGGTGATCCTGCCGGCTGGCCCGACATGTCCTTCTGGTGTCTCAAGCTGGGGCGCTTGATCGGTGATCGACGGCCTACACGGCTTCCGGATTGTGAACGAACCTTGGCGGCTTGGTCCTGGATCGGACTGCCGGCGCTGAATTTCCAAGCATCTGGACCATCACCGTTTACAAAGCTCGTGTCAATTTCCTCGGTGCTCCTGCGGCTGAAAGTTGGCTGCTCTGGTGCGGCGGTTCGGGCGAAGGTGTCATCGTCGATCGGAAAATTGAAGCTATTGGTAATTTTCTTGTCAGCTTGGTTCGGTGCAACATCATGGTGAGTGCCAATCGTGTAGCGCTTGTCACGAGAAAGCGGCGTCAGGTCTGGCGCCTGTCTCTTCACAAGCTTGCTCAGAAGTTCGCCCTGCTTTCGCTCGAATGGTGTGAGTGAGTCTCTCCTCGACCTATCTCCACTAGGAGACGGCGAATCATGCAGGTCTGCGTTGCTCGACTGCTCAGTGAGCGGATGCTGCGTTGCACATTGTGTGCGAGCCTCGGCTGCTGATTTGCGCCGCAGGTTGGGAACCGCAAAAGGAGGAAAAGAACCTGAGGGAAAAGATGTTCCGTACATTGAAGATCCTTGTGCCGTGTGGATGTTTCCCGCTCCTGCGAAAACATTAGCTTTTGCTGGGTTATAAAGCTTTAGACAATCCCACCATTAGGATTCTGAGAAGCGGGGGCCTTCGCCTGCGCATTGTTCGGACCAGGACCGGTGGCCGTATTAGGTGGAGTGTATCTTGCGCTTGCGCGGGATCTGAATGGGTCCTTGGGCGAGTTGGACGCAGTTGCAGCCGCCGTGTTAGGGCGGTCCTCTTGCGGCGTCGAAGTCGAAGTGCGCGGGCTCGACGGCTCAGTCCTTGCTTGACGGGGGACACTCTGGGCGCGTTGACGAGCGCTGCCAGGCGAAAGATTGGGGCCGTAGCTATCCTGAGGTGGTCGAGGGCTTTCCCGGGTGCTTTTCGCCCGTCCCACAGAGATGCCATCAAATGGATTCAGTTTCTCGCCGCCATGTGACATGTAAGGAGTGCTTTGGCGAGAATCCGAGTCCCTAAATTGCGCCAGAGGGTCTGGCACTCCTGCCTCTTGTTGTCTTCGCGCATTGTCTGCGAAAATGTTGGTGTGCCGGGATGAGGTGGAGTAGTTGGACGAGTTCACCGGAGGCTCATCTGCAGGGACGGGCGAGTGAGGAGTGTAGCCAGGTTTGCGTCCAAAGGAAGCCTCCGCCCTCTGTTTCTGAGAAGGAGTCCGGGGAACTGGTCGCTTTGGAGTCTCAGGGGCCTTGGCGGGCTTTGGCTGAGACTGGCTGGCCCGACCCTTCATATTCTCGAAAGCATGCCAGGCATTCCGCTTCGCTTCTGGGTCGTCTCTCGTCTGCGCTTTAGCCGTTGGAGCCGCACCCGAAGCAAAGTTGCGGTATCTACTTGCTCCTGAGGCTGGCGGAGGCGGCGGCGGATTGCGAGCTGTCGCATTACGACGAGGTGGGGGAGGGAAGTTGGCACCGGCATTCTGCCAGGGGTTGCCTCGGACTCCGGATGCTGTAGGATATCTCGATCGTGTTCTCCCGGCATCGTACTTGGCTCGTTGTTGAGGGTCGGTCAGAATTTCATGGGCTGACTGAATGACCTGGAATCGGGAGTTGACCTCGGCTTCTCTGCCTGGGTTTCGGTCGGGGTGGTACTTGAGTGCTAGCTCGGGTTAATCGACTCGTTCGACAGGAAAAGATCAGCTTCACCATACCTAGCTTTCGAAACTGTTTCTTGATCTCATTCGTATCTGCGTCTGCCGGGAGCTCCAGGTCCGCGTAGTAGTCGCGGCTCATGTCGACTCCTCCCATCCTGACGGTGATTGATGTTCGACAGACCAAAGACTCTGGAAATGTTGACTGTTTTGTCCAAAACGCATGCCAAGCTTAGGATATCTCGAGGCGGCGAAGATTTGTAGAGCTGTAGACCAAACGAAGCACGCTCGAGGTTATCGAAAGTAGCTTCGCCGCCAGTCTGTGTTGAAGGTTGCCGGGATCTAGACACACAGCCTTGTGTTGGGTAGGTCTTGGTGTGGCGTAGCTCAGAAGTGTCGCCTGCGTAATTGGTGGCTGAGCAAAGTGACGTGACAGTCGAGATTCGCAAAACGATCGGGTTCTCCAAGCACCGTTATTCCGGTCCGGGAAACGTAGTCGCGATAGCTGTCTGCAGCTTCGATTTCTACCACGTTGGCAGACGTAGGTTCGTCTTCGGAAGGTCGATCGAAAGGTTGTGGTTTTCTGTAAGGAGGGGGAAGGCAAAAGAATGAGTGGACTAAGGCAGCAAAGGAAGTCAGCAGTCGTGTCACGGGTAGTTTGGAACAAAGTAGTAGATGTTTTCGCAAGCGGAAGTTATCGTGGTAAAGGGCACGGCAGTAGTTTTAGAAGAGGTAAGCAATCGCGGAAGTAACACGAGGGTAGCAGTCGCCCAGTTGTAAGATGACGGGAAGAACGTCGGCAGCTGCTCCCCACAGATCTGGAAGGTTTGGTGTTTGTTGCCCCTCGCAGCTCTCAGCGTTATGTTGAACAGGCGACTACTGCACAGCAACAAGGATATGCGTTGATGCTAGATGACGGAAGCAGGCACCGTGGGGAGGAAGAGAAGCGATCTGAAGCAGCGTAGGCTTGCCGGGCGGAGAAGTCGAGCCAACCAGTTGACGAAGGCACTGGAACCACAGGAAGTTCGCTGGTACTGGTTGGCCCTTCACCGTCGTTCTGCTAGACAATCTCACAATGAGGAAGACGCGGTGATGATTGGGCAGATGCGATGCGACGTGCGTGTATGGGAAAGCAACTCACCGAGATGACGTCAAACTGGGAAGCAGATGGCAGAAGCTGACTACCGTGGGCGAATGTCGGACGAGAGCCGCGGGTGCCCGACGGGAGAGGCGAGGTGGAAGAGACGCAGCTGTGATGCGACGTTGTTCCAAGGAAAGGGGTTCGCGGGTAGTTCGTCAAGACGAGAAGAAAGGAGCCGCATCGGCAGTGTGCGAAACCGAAAAGGAAGAAGCAAATATTAATTCAACGTTTGTTTTTGACGGGCCGTCTAACCCACCTCTGTCCGTTCGGTTGCGCGGGCAGCAAGGAGGGATGGATGGGGTAAAAGGGTCTAGTTTTTTAGAAGGGTTTTCAGGGACTCCCCGGTTACCTCTTGCCTGAGCTGGATCCCCAGCTGCCTCGAGCTCCCCAACCGTTGCCTGCCTTGCCCGCAGCCAGTCTGCGCCTGCTTGCTTCTCTCCACTGACACGGACGCACCTCCCCCCTTACCCCCCCCGCTTGGCGGCACGACGCGTGTAAGTGCGCTTGACGTTATTGTGGTCTCGTTTCTGCATAACGTAAGGCATGCCAGAATGTCGTCTGGACTCTCCTTCAATTTCACCAAATACGCCTCTTCGAATAATACCCGCAATAGGTAGTGGGGAAGGGTGAGGTATCTACAGATAGCTACGCACGACTACCTAGCATCATATCGCCTCCATGGTGGGGATCTCATCGCCTCAAGCCTCACCCGAGTTGCCTAACCTTTCTTTAGTCAGCCTATCCAGCTGGGCTAAGCCACCGTTCTAGCGTGGAATATCGGCAGGCGTGATGCATTTCCAAGCATCGCCTGGATAAACCAAGCCGAGGATGTAGTTGGAGGATGGAGCTACCAGAATTGTCCTAGTCACGGATTCTTCGTATGCCCTCAACGCTGCGTTGATTCGACGGCATCTGCGCCGATGCATTCCAGTCACGGGGGGTCACCTCAAATCTCGAGAGACAAGACTTTCGAAGGAGAATCCAATCTTCGGCAACCTTGTGCCGGCCTAAGCTGACACTAAGGTAATTAGACAGTAGCCTCAAAATCTCCGACTGGAGCTATCTGACTGAGGCCTCGGAACCCCCAATTGCGCCTCACATATGTTGAAGAAACAATTTCCCAAGAGGAAATCTTGAGCCAGATGGAGTCTTACGAGATTTTTGTGATCAATCCAACAAACAATCTCTCTGCAACACATCAAGGCGGCTATTAACAAAAACTACTGAAAGATTTCACAAAACTACCGTTGCCCGGCCTCCCAGCTTGGCTCATCTGCAGTAAGCCCGCCGGACCCCTCCCCCGCATGAACCCAAGTCCACGCGAGTTTAGAGCCCACTCCTACGCCAGCCGAAAGCTACGTAAACATCTCAAAGCCGGTTTTGTTTCTTCTATCGAACTTGAACCCCCTCCAAGTATTCGCAACGATGCGTGAGAGGGGATGATCGACCGAACACCTTGCCTTAGAATCAAACACTTATGCTAGACGACGTCAGGATCAGGACCCGCCCCCGCCATCCAGACAGACCAGGGGCATATGGATGCCCTGGGCCTCAGCTTCATTGGCGTGTTGTAAGGCAGTGGTCTTCTGCAACGAATATGATCTCAAGACAACCTACTCGATGAACCCAGGTGGAACCTCCCTGGTCTTTGTCTCATCAGCGCCATTTATCTTGTATTGCCCGGCGGAAGAATGGAGGGGTACAGTTTCCATTGGTGCCTTTCTCAACTGAGTCGCAACCCCTCGCTTTTATCACCAAATAAGTGAGATACTTTTCAAAACTTCCTCTTCGAGACTTTGATGTCATGGTAGTCACTCTAGTCTCTGGTACCTTAAAAGTTGCCCCAGAGCAGTCCCCTCTGCTAGCCGCCTGGCACAAATCAATCCTTGAACGCCATCGCTGTGAACTTGTTTCCCAGCCCCTGTGTTTTACTTTTACATGCATGGTAGACTTTGGTTGTTATGTGGAAGTCGGATACCCTAGTCCTCGGTCCCGTAGCATCGATGACAGCCATCTCTGTGCGTCATCCTAAGAGACTCTGATGGAAACTCATAGCTGGGTTGGCGCAGTGGTTTTTGTCCATCCCTTGTTCTTCATGTTCGCCTCAATTGCCCGCCAGATCGACTCTGCAGCTTCCTTGTCCCTGAACTTGGCCGCCTCCTGAGCACCAGTTCCATCACGCCAGCGATCAACGCCGAGCTGCAACACGCGGTGGCCCCAGTCCTTTACGCTGTCTGGCGGTTGCTCCCCGCGCCAGCCGATGAAGATGCCCAAAATACGGCGGAACAGATCCGGAGGAGAGCTCCACTTGTAGTTCTTGAACTGCCATGACTGGCCAGTGGTGAAGACTGCAACAACGCGATTCCAGTACTCGGGTTTGAACTGCTCAGGGCCCTCGACGAGAATGAAACGCATGGGCCGCGACGGGTCGATATCCTTCATGACGCGGGAGACGTGCAGCATGCTAGCAGCAGCGCTGCCGTCGGGCTGCACGTAGCGCCCTGACTCGAGAAAAGAGCGGATGTTGGACAGGCGCAGCAGGGAGGAGGCCGAGGGCGAGAGGAGGATAATCGGGTCTGGTCGCCTCGTTGGGGCCTTCTGGTTGAGCGCGAGGGATGGGTTGGCGCTTATGTTCGACGAGCCATTGGGTTTCTTCTGGATGAAAGGAACAGCGAGCTTACGGACATGGGAGAAGTCCTAAAAAGAATCGAGTCAGTCATGCGTAGCTTGGTCGTGAGGTTGATCGCGACTCACCGTGTGCTTCACGCCGCGCAACACAGAGTTGCGATCCCCCATCTTGCGCTCTCCATTGTAGATGACCGCCAATCTAGGATCCAAAGTGCCTCGTCCAGCTCGACTGGCCGCAGTTGCTGGGGCAGTCTTGGACGCGCTCGCACTAGCTCCCTCCTTGCCGTCCTTGTCGCCAGCCAAAGGCTTGATGTGTTCACTCTCCTCACTAGCGCCTTCCAGCCAAGTGAACAAGTCTAAACGTTCGACGAAGGCAAGGTTTTGGACAGTGCCTAGGCTGCCCAATTCTTCGTTGAGGCGGGTAGCGCTTGCGTTGTATTCGGGAATTGCAACATCCTTGTTTAGCCAGGCGAAGTAGATGGATCGCAGGTCGACCGGGCGGTCGCTTGAAATGAAACGCGTCGGTGTCGAGAGCGATACAGAAACGGGAGCTGGGTGCGAGAAGAGTAGATGGGTAGCTTGCGAGAGAGGAACCTCGGTCGCAGAAGCATCGGCTGAAGCTGTGGGAACCGCAGGTCGTTTCGATGCGATGGATTGCCGCAGCAGGAGCAATGGATCCTGCTCGTTAGCAGCCATAATGATAGGTAAAAGAAACAATAGGCTTATAAGTATCGGGCTCTTATAGAGCTTCTGAAAGCCTGGAAAGATGACCAAAAGGCTTGGATGACCGAATTGAGCGTGACTTGGGTTGTATGTGTAGATGCGACGGGGTGTTTACGAGCCTCGAAATTTGGGGCTAGAGGTTCAGCCTCAGTTGCTGGCTACCTATCGCCATTTTCAGCCACATTACATGGCCCATATTAATCACACGCCAATCTATAGAGCTGCGCCACAATTGAGCCTCCTATGCACCTTCAAGCTTCAAGCTGCTTTCTCTCGACCTTGACCCACACATCCCTATAATCATGATTTGTTTGGAGAACGCATGATTATTAGTGATGCCCACACAAGGTAATAGGACCGTGTGAATATGTCAATTTGATCTGTTCTAGGGCGTGAATAAAGGCTCAGCCAGCATCAGTCCCATATTGATCTCTCATCGGTCTCCGAGGTAATAGACACTTCTGATCCTTGGCGTCTGTCACTCATTTTATGTTCTATCTTGAGTGTTGACTCTTTCCTCCCTCTCCCATGATAAACACAAACCCCAGTACCACCCGATACGTGTTTAGGGTTCGCCGGACACATTGGACTACTGGGTAGGTGCTCCGGAAGATCAAATTCGAAATTGCGAGGTCCTGTTAGTCTCCGCTTGGGTTGTATTCGTTGCTTCGCTTCCCACCACTCCTTGGGTCTTTTTGGGAGATTGTCGTCGCATCTCGTTTGGTTTCGTTTAACGCTTGTAGATCTGGCCGGTTGAGCAGCGTCCCAGGTATCACTGTCTTCCCCAGGTGGAACCATGTCTGTGAAAAAGCCTCGTGGCTTTCCATCCGCGGTGTCCTCGTGCGTTGGCGGAGTTCTCACCCTTGTAGCTTCCTGAAGTGACGGTCAGTTGAACACTTCTCGAAGATGATCTGGATGCACTCACTCCAGCAGGGTACGGCGTCAGGGTAGAGTCTTGTTGGCCTATTTCTGATATTAGCTTACATTTAGATCGGCAATTGTTGGTTTCCTACGACTCAAGAAGCCCTCGGGATCAGGCGTGACAGGTGGGGTCTTTCCTGCCAAAAAGTCTCGAACAGAACTTGTGGCACTGCTGATGGTGTCGTTGGAGTCTTTACGGTGCCAAGGGGCCTTGCCGAACCAGCTTGTGCCTGTGGCCGTAGACCTTGTATCTTCTTTGTTGGCGAACCAAGTCAGCGTTTTGGATATCGGAGAGCTTGAGATATTCTTCGGCACGTCGGCGAGTTGCTCGGAGGCTAGAGATTCGGATATCGACTCGGACGATTGCTTCTGCTCGACATTAGAATACACCCCGCTCGGTCTAACACCAATGTACTGACAGTCATGTTCTTGAACAAAGCAAACAGTTTGATGCTTTTCCGGCTCTGGATGCTCTGGCTTATCGATGGAGCACCAGAGCTTGCGCCATGGATTGATTCCAACGGCTGTGCTACCTCTGGCGGAGGTTCTTGGAGTGTCATTGCTAGTTTTTCCTCCGGTGAATTGAGGGTATGCTGAATACTCGGCATCCGGTCCAAACTAGGTCGTACTGTGTGAAGCAACGTATTCTGCAACACTCTAGTCTGGAACTCCTCCGACGATGGGCTAAGCGGCCCATTGGAGCTGAGTACGGACCTTGGAGACGAGGGAACATCCGGAGGCAGCATCTCTTGCTCACTAGTGCTAACATTTCGAATCTTTGGGGATCTGTTGGCCCATCTCCAACGCTTGTTTGCGCTGCCTTGGCGCGCTTTTCCAGAGATGATCTCTCGCTCAGCCCAATATCCTTCAGGAAACCAGACCTACTCGCATCCTTCTTTGGGGGGCCTTGGAGGGTCATGATAGCTTCCAGGCCTTGGAGTCATTGGCCAATCCCTTGGAGACGGCTGAGTGGGAGTTGACCTGGTGCTGGGACGGGGCAGTGATTGTGGCGTAGTAGGTGTTGCTGGCAGTGAGCCAAAGTATCCGTCACACTGTCCCCTCTTGGGCGTACTGGATCCATCCCAGCTATCTCCAGGTGCAAATTGCAAAACCTCAGGACAAGTGACTCTGAGCGCCGTTTTGAAGGACAGCCTGTGAGCGTCGCGATTGGATATGGGATAGGACTGCGAAGACGATCTGTGAATGGGGTCAGCATCAAAAGCTGTCATTACCAGCACATGGCAGACTTACGTCCGTCTGCGAGTCCGGACGGGGTCCTGAAAAGGGTCACTGAATGCCACGATACTCATCGGCAGACCATCCCTAGAGCTCTGGCGTTCTGTCACTGCATCATTGCCGTCGACTGTATGAATAGAGGCCATTAGGCTAAGGACGGCTTGCTAGGGATTCGTGGAATCAATGGCCGGCCAAATGAGGAGGGCTAGGCAGGCTGCAGGGAGAACCATAAAGATAATCGAAGGTGATCAAGAGGAGAGATTTCGAAAAGAGTTGGTTCGGAATACTTACGGCAGGGACTGGACAAGTTCGATGCTGAAGACGACACGTGGTGGTCCCCGCTAACCTCCGTTTCGGCAGGATGGGACACCTACCTCAGGTAAGGTACTTTGAGGCGAGTAAAGGGGCCCCTGCCAAGTAGGAAGTCCATAGAAACGTGAATCACGCGTCAAAATATCACGAGCTTCTCAGAATCCATTCGATTAGGATTGCGGGTATCAAATCAGACCTGCTAACGCCTTCTAATGCCCAGGGGTTGGCCAAGCTCCATTTCCCATATCCCAGTTGTTTTCATGTGTCGTTCAATCCACGAGCATCGTATCATCACCGTCGAATGCGGCACTCTGCTGCTCAACAGCCACTCCCTTTCCTCTGCCAGCCAGCAACTCTCGCCTAATTTCAGGCGCAATAGAGTGGTGGCCGTGGGTCAACAGCAAGTCCAACAGCGCCTCTCGCTGGTCCTCGCTCAAGTCGTTTCTGTATCTCTGGGCGAATGCCAGAAGATTTTGGTGGAAGACAACGGGCAGCGACTTGACCATGTCTCCAGAGAAAGACTGACCCTCCTTGATGGATGCAGGGTCCACACTTCTGAATCGCAGGAAATGGAAGACGAGCGAGTCGATGACCTGATACGGAAGGGCGTACTTCTTCTCCAGCAGGGCCTTAATGAAGATGTTGGCCGCACCACCGCCCTCGGTGCCCGCCGAAGCTTCCTGAGCAGCACTACAGCCGCGTTAGCACATATTCACAGCCAGAACTTGAAGAACAGGGAAGCCTACATCTCGGTGATACCCTTCAAAGCTGCAGCGGAATGAAGCACTGGCACTGACACTCTGACGAGCACAGCGGAAACAATTTGCGCCTCACGGATTGTGCAGCCGCTGGAAAGAAGGGGGAACAAGAAGCCGAGGAAGAACGCTCGGGGTTTGTACAGACTCTTCTTCAGCGCGTCGAACAAGTGCACATTCAGCTTCTTATTCTCGTAGATATCCTCGCGGACCTTGTCGAGGACAACAAGCTCCATGAACTTCTGGCAGACGATAGGCTTCGAAGCAGAAAAGATCCTCGTCGCTTGGTAAACAGCATTCGGCGTCCACTTTTGGGGTTCCGTAACCTCAATAATATCCTCCCAATGAGGCAGAGTCGGCAAAATTTTGAAGGGTTTTGGCAGGGGGCCGCTCTTGTATCGCGACAGAATAAATCCAACCCTATCAAACGGTTAGCAACAAACTTCCGGTGATCGCCAATCTCGGGTACATACTTTGTGTATACTTCAACGACCTTCGGGGGAAGCTCATATTCCTCATCACGAACGGGGACGCCCGCTGCTTTCCGGGCCTCGGCAGCCTCGTGCGCCGCAATCTTCTCCAGGATGAGTTCCGTCAAGTTGGTGCCACCGCCAGCCATCTCGTCGTCGGGACCCTTGCTACCCCAGCCGTGCTGGTTCAGCATTGCCGCAGGGTCATCTTCGGCCTCGGGCAAGAATTTGCGGTATGTCTCGAGGTCTTCGGGGTCGATCTCGATCTCCTCAACAACTTCGTCCTCTTCACCCCAGGCCTCCTCATCGTCGTACGCCTGTTCGTCGCCAACATCGGTGCCGTATCTCGACTCGATTCCGAAAAGGTCGACAGTGGGTTTCGCTGCGGCTTGAGGCTTCGCAGAACCGTCCTCCTCGGCAAGCTCTCGGCCTAGCTTGAGAATGGTGCGACTCCGTGTCGCATCGACGAAGCCTTCGCCATTGTCTTCTTCGTCCGAGTTCTTGCCCTTCTTTCTCTTGGGCGCCTTGTTCTTCAAGGGACCCGTAGCAAGGATATCATCCTGAAGAGGGTTGTGTCTCCGCGACTGGCGGTCGGTCGGGGTGGTAGCCTTGCCCATTGTTGAGAATCACTCGGTGAGAAATGGTCGTGGCGGAGTACGACTGACAGGCGGGATAAGCGGTGCCTCTTTTTTTTTTTTCCTGTGAGCCAGAAATTTTTGATTTTCCTTATCGATTGCCCCGCGCCTGATTAGTGCCCAGAACCCTGGACCGGTTTGTTACGGGGCTTGTCTGGTCCTTTGTCCAATGAGGACCCCTGATGTTGACTTCATCGGCGAGCAGAGTCAATGCCCCGCCACCAAACCCCCACCAAAAAGCTTCTGCAAGTGACTCTGCGAGTCTGTCTTATAGTGAAATTGAGACCTCTCCTCAAAAGGCCCCAGGAAATTAGCATATTTCACGCAGTTCTGTCTTTCGTTCACGATATACACTGAAAAAGAACCAAAAAAATGCCTACAGAATTGGAAGAGGTATGCTTACTCGATCAGAAATGCTTAACTTGCACTTTGTTGGACTCGTCTCATGATGTGATAGCTCGTGGGCTTCATCGCTCATCCCAATGCGAATCTCAGAAAGGTAGCCATCGAGAACCTCTCAGGCTACTCACAGGCAGACCCGGCAATCTTCAAGACAGAGAACTTGACTCCCGTAAAGCACCTCAAGTTTCTAGTCAGAGATCACCCTGTAAGCACAAGCCTTTCATCACTTGCCTGATCCCGAGACTGACAATAGATAGAAAATCGCAGAACATGCGTTGACAATTCTCGTCAACCTCACTGCCGAGAAAGACGTTCTTGAGAACGTGGCAACAGACCAAAAGTTCATCGATATTCTCTTGGACTTGGTAGTAGTATGTCAACTTTCTTAACTTGGCACAGAACCATGCAGTAATGGGACTATGCGATATGCTAACCCCGTTCCAATAGAAACCCGATGAGGCAAACGCCAACCTGATGGCAATGCTGCTTGCCAACTTGGCAAAGTGGGATGGGCTCAACACTATTGTTACCAAGAAGCAAACACCGCCAGCGGAGCTCAAGTCCAACGATTTGGTTCTCAACCAGCTGGTCGATCTCTTCGTAAAGGAAAAGGGAGCCTACAACAAGGATGCCGACTACGACTACCTCGCCTACCTATTTGCAGATCTCACCAAGCACGCTGAAGTACGCCAGCACTTTGTCACCCGGCAAGACTACGACGAGGTCATCCCCATCACCAAGCTCAAGGTCTTCACCGAGCACCAGTCCGAGATCCGGAGGAAGGGTGTCGCGAGCACGATCAAGAACGTCGCATTTGAGATCCAGTTCCACTCCACGTTCATGGACGAGGACGAGGTCGACATCCTCCCTTACATCCTCCTCCCCATCACTGGCAACGAGGAGTACGACGAGGACGACACCATGGGCATGCTGCCTGATCTGCAGCTCTTGCCCCCCGACAAGAAGCGTGACTCGGATCCCAAGATCATCCAAACGCACATCGAGACGCTTCTGCTCTTCACGACGACAAGAGGAGGCCGCGGTCTGCTGAGAAGAGTCAGCGTGTACCCCATCATCCGCGAAAACCACTCCCGCGTCAACGACGAGGGCGTCAAGGATGCATGCGACCGTCTGGTGCAAGTACTGATGAGAGACGAGGAGCCAGAGGAGGGCGAGGGTGAGGCGGAGTCCAAGCCTAAGGAGATTACCGATGGCCCAAAGGTCGAGGAGGTCGATGATGACGACGATGATGATGAGATTGTCGAAGTCTAGACGGGTAGTATCATGATGAGGTTTGCAAGTTCTTCCCTATGGTCATGGCTTATGTAGAAAGAGGGGATACCCAGGTCCAAAATCCAAAAGTTGGTATTTTTTTCATCCTATGAATATGTGACATGCCTGAGGAAGGAACCGACTCGGTGACTGACGCAGAAGGGTATATATTCAATCCTTTCGTTCGCCTCATTAAATATCTTGGACATTTGGCTCGTCTATCTGGCCAACTGGGTTGAGGCGCATGACTACCTTCACCGCTGCCATTTATTGGCGCTGGGTTCGATCCTCATCCCGGGCGGCCTTCTTTTTGCTGTTTTTGTGCTTCCTGCTTCCTCGTTCCTTCCTTCATGACGTGAGGTGAGATATCGTGACAGTATTTCAGAAAAAGTGGGGCACGCCGACGACATCCCAACGAGGCCCAGAGTGGAGGAGGAGCAACACGGAGAAGTATTCAGTAAACTCGGGAAGATAGACGGCGCTGATTTGATCTGCATTGCTTTCGATATCTGACAGCCTTTCCTGCCGTTCATTTGGATAAATAGCGAAACTCAAAACCAGCCCTCACATACTCCCTAGCTTTCTCCAAGAACCCATCTACTCGACAGTGACAGTCACCTTACTCTTGTCTATCCCTCAAAGTCAGCCCTCCATTTCACCTCTACCCCTCTCTGATATCAGCAATTCTAAAGCAAACGCGGGAAACAACTCACAAAAGGCGACATGGTCCTTAATCTCCTTCGCCCCATCCTTGGGCGTAGGATAATACCAAGCAGCGTCCTTGAGCTTGTCATCTACACGCATCCACGCCACCCCCCATAGTCAGCCGTTGTACATCCAAATGCATAGGAGTAGTAGACCAAAACGACATATCAGAACATGATCTCACCCCCGACTTTAACCGAGTAGTAGTTCGCAGTCCCCTTCCAAGGACAAAACGTCGTCGTCTCCGTCTTCTCAAACGCCTCCGTCTTGACCGCCGAGGGCGGGAAGTAGACGTTGCCCTCGACCTCCTCCCACTCCGTCGCCTCCGCGAGCGTGGTACCGTTGACAACGGCCTTGGCTTTCCCGGTCTTGGTCATCTTGTTTCTTTCTTTCGCTGTTCGTCTCAATTCGATAGAGGAAGATATAGTCAAAAGTAGCAAATTGCTGGTTTGATAGAAGATTCTACGTTCGCAAAGATGAGATTGACCTGCACTTGGATCAGCGACTTATTAGCAGCAACTTGATGCAAGAAGAGGGGGAGTGCGGGGAATACGTCGTCTATGTGCCTTTGAATCTTCGTCGAGTCTCCAACGTC